GCGCCAGCTGTAATCACCTGTTGTGTTCCGGGTGGGGTGGGTGCTGATTGGATGAGTGCTTTTTTATAGCAGTCTGATCCAATTGAGGGCAGTGTTGCCTCAGGTGTGGAGAGCTGCTCACACAGGGAGTCAAACCCCCAACTCATAATGCACACTGATCTGGACTGTATATAAAAGATGGACACAGTTGCAGAGCTGTAATAAATCTATATGAATGAACTGTTTTCTGTTTGGCTTTATTAGCCTCACGTGATTGTGGAGTCTTTACAATGTTTTTTCAGTTGATTGAGGTTTGTGGACATTCATCTATGCACAGCTCTCTTTAGGACCTCTTTAGCACTTTTATTCTTTCCTTTTTCAGCCACTCTGTTGTAGATGTGCTGCTGTGCTGGCGATCATTGCTCTGTTGCATGACCCAGTTTCAGCCAAGCTTTGACTGTCAGACAGATGGCCTTACATTTGACTAGAATACTTTGGTATACAGAGGAGTTCATGGTTGACTGCACGGTGCCCAAATCGTCAGCCTTCCACCTACGTGCTGACAGCTGGTATGAGGCGCTTGTGATGATTGGTTTTCTACAAATGTGGTGCTGTGCATTATGGTCAAACATCTCCAGTTTTGCAAACCTAAGCTGCACTGTCACGTTCTTTTTAGAGAGAAGAGCCTTTCGCCTGGCAACTCTTTCAAATAATTTCTATACTTGATCAGTCTGTTCTAATTGTGCTGTCATGAAGTCTAACATTTAGCACGCTAACTGAGTCAGAGATGACTTCGTGCAGGCTTTTTGCAGCACAAACACTGTGCAGAGGTCCAGTTTAGTGACTCAAGTCAGCAAAGGTGAGGCTTAGCAAACAGTTAACAGGTAAAGCTTCCGGCGTCAAGACACCTGTCAATCCAGGTGCCCCTAATTCCAGTATCCAGATGGGTGTATTATAATAAGATTCACCCCATGTGCAGGAGATGGAAGGAACTGAAACCTGGTTTTCTACAAGGCTGTGAACATGATTATTGCTGTTGTAAATTGGGGAACTGTTACCAAAAACTGCAATGCTTCTAATGTCCACCAGAGGCTGGCTCCAAAACACGAGTCAAGCCCCACAAACTCCCACGTTAAAAATATCCTGTTTGGGCAGATTGTAGAGAGCTCTGAGATTGCAAAAACTGTAAAGGTGCAGCCCAGATTGACTCACAAGTATTCACTTATTTCTCCTAATTTAATTAAAAACGCTCTCCTGGGTTTCTTAAGCCTCTGTATTAGGATGGTGATAATCATGAACGAGTGTCTTTAGAGGAAAGGGCTCACAAACAACAAACCTTTTAATAATAAGCATGGTTATAACCCAGTAACACTAAGTGCTTCACAGTCTGTATAGTTGACAACATGCAGGCTACAGACACTTTAAACAAGCTAAGGAGACTCCCTGCTATCTGAGATTAATCAGCACAGAGCTAAAGAGGCTAAACTAACACCCAGCGTCACTATCGGAAAAACAGACCTGATCCAAGCACTTACAGGTGCACTGAACTGCAAACTAATCTAATGACCTTTGACCTGGTCATGAGAACATTCTCTCACAGCCGGGTGCTTAAAAAAAACAAAAACAAAACAAGGTGGCTAACAGCAGCCAAATTTACACTCTGTTGTTTTATTTTGAGCTGCCTGCATGGGTCAATAAATGCTTCTTATATTTGTAGGGGACAAATATCAGTCATTGCATCAGTCCAGTGACAGAAAATGTGTCAAGAAATTAGCAATACATAAGCTAGGGCACGCAAGACAACACTTGCCATCAGGTGTGGGTTTAAAGTGGACATTAAGCTCATTTTTAGCTTTACTAGAATAGAATAGAATAGAATAGAATAGAATAGAATAGAATAGAATACCTTTTATTGTCAATATGCACATGTACGATGAGACGCGCAGACGTGGGAAAAGAGAGGGGCGGTAAGGTGCACAGTTCTGCGGCACTATACACATATGAGCAGTCCCAATTCAAAAAAGATAAAATATACAAATATATCCACATTAGTATTGCAAAATTCAGAGAGCAAAATAATCCTTATTTATCTCATACTGGACCTGAGTGTAGCCCCTCAATTCATCCTGTGTCTGTCTGAAACAAGGAATTTATTCCGTCCCTCACTGTGATTGGAAGCCCCTTTTAATCAGAAGGTTCAAGCATCAGATGGGTGGGGCTTCTGTGCCTAAGGCTGTCCCCTCTGTGTGAAGCAGTACATTTAGACTGGGGATTATTTGTGTAAATTAAATAAGGAAAAACATAACAGGCCATCTTTAAACTCAACTTTATATCATATTTGCAGAAGAAAATGTTTCTACTTCATATTCAGACCAAATTTAGCAAAAAAAAAATGAGCTCAAAAAGTTTCTTTGCTCAGTTATCTGTGATTTATGACAGATGAAGTTTTCACAAATTATTATGGAAAACAAAGATACCTTTCAACTCTCCTCTGAGATGGAACAAGTTCAATAAGAAAATACAGTCCCAGAAGGTTTAGACTGTCAAGTCCCAATTCATGTAGCGGTCCGACAAAAGTTGTTACTAAAATAGAAATAGCATCTGTGTTAAGCTAATATTAGGCTAATGTTTCTGCAAACTACAAAAGAAGTACTACAGAGACTGTCTACACTTTATTAATTCAAAAAAGGCACGAACAAATCCTATATTTTGTCACTGGCTGCATAAATCAGCTCATTTATATAACTACAAAGCTGACTAGCTAGCTTTAGCATGTAGCTAATGTTAATTTAAGACGTAGACCGCAACACAACATTAATCATTGGTTTTAGCAAGCAGTTTGAGATGTTCACAACACAACATTAAACATTGGTTTTAGCAAGCAGTTTGAGATGTTTTTTATTTTATGGTTTATTTGTAGAGGGACGAGTGTGTAAAATGAAACAACACTGCTGATGACAGTATTTTGGCTTAAGCTAGTTAGCTTAAGCTAACTAACTAAATCTTACTTTTAATTAATTAATTAACTCTAACTAGCAAAACTGTCAGTAGATAGGCTATTATCTGAATTCAAAACCAATTATTACATAATAACATAAAATGAGTCATTAATAGTCTTTATTTTTCATTTAACACAATCCAAAGTAATGTGAAGAAGCTAAAAAATGGAATGCCTTTCAAACTGCTGCAGTTTCAGTTTTTGAACCTGTTACTGTCTGTCTGTGGATTGTGCCTCTAATGTCAGCCTGAATCTATGATTCAGTTTGTGAATCATCCAGGATGATGACACTGGCTGTCTGCTTGAAGCTGTTATTTAGCTACAAAAAGTGGTATTCCTGTAGAGCTGCGGTCTACAGAAGTCAGACTGATTGTTGGGGCTCATTAGTATCATTGACTCTTTA